GAGCGGTTAGATAATAAGGTACAATAAGAGAACTGGAGGCCACTATAACCCATTAGGGATCAGAATAAAGACATACATATATATAACAATTAAACTATTGAATTAAAACAAAACTCAAATATTCTATTAAGTTTGATCCATTATATTAAATAACTGTCCGTTTCTTAAGTCTTACGAATGTTCATAGGATGTAAATTTCGGATGGTTTCGTTTAGTAATTTTGGCTCAATGTTATTCCGTATGTTGTGGGTAAAGAATAAGAGACACTACACGACCGTTTTACAGATAATGAATTGCAGACACACTTTATGTTGATACAATACAATTCGGCGCATCGCCACGTAATTGACGCGATACACGGTCCGCCATAAACTAACTAAAAAATAAAAAACGTCACCCTGCTGGTAGCGCTTACTCCTCGTCTCCGCTCTCTCGATCGCGTCGGTGTAGATGGCGCTCACGACATCCTCCCATCTTGAGTCTCAGACTCAACATTACAAAAGAAAAAAGGGCGTAAAATAGGAAGAATAATTACAATTTTAACCTATCCGGTTCCCTACTTATGCGTCCGCTTCGAGTAACAAACTGTTTACATGGACTGATCGCATCATTACTATTATCCATGACAGTCTCTGGCTCTGGCGTGACATTACAAGGTATGCTGCTCCGCGGCAACATCGCTGATCTCTCATTATTCGACACTTCAAGAGGGTACAAACGTTGTACAGGACGCATTAACTCACCACGCGGAGTCTTCACTCGCACAACTCGTACGTTGCCATCTTTTCCGCGAATCACTTCCATTACGCGTGCCAGAGGCCAATCCATGCGCTTCCGATCGTCATTTCCGACTAATACGACGTCACCCACACCGATAACTGACGCTAAATTTCTCGTTTTGGATTTGTACGATAACTTCCCTAAACATTCCGATCGGAAACGCCGACGTAAGTCTTCCCTTAACATTTGTCTGTACCGCAATCGCTTATTAATATCGCATCGATTCACATCATCGCAATCCGGCATTCCAATTTCTCTAACTTCCTGTAAAAACATGGAGGGAGTCAGTGGACACAAATCCATCGGATCGTTTGACACGTAAGTAATAGGACGCGCATTAACAATGGCTTCGCAATCGCATAAAGACGTTAACATCTCTTCGTAGGATAAACATGCTTTGCCTAGTATCTTTCTCAAAAGCGGTTTCAGTAAACCTATCATCCGCTCCCAAAATCCGCCCCACCAGGCAGCACTGGGCGGGTTAAGACGACAATCTAATTTTTGAACAGAACTATATTCCGAGACTCTTTTCCAATCTACCTTGCGAAGTAACTTTACCGCGCCAACAAAATTAGTGCCATTGTCACTATACATAACACTTGGTCTTCCGCGACTAGCTACAAACCTACGAAGGCCTTCGATGAACGCAGAAGTAGACAAAGAAGTCACCAACTCAAGGTGCACGGCTCTATATATCGCACATGTAAAAAGACATATCCGTGCCTTTTGATTCACTTTAAGAAATACCGGCCCCGCTAAATCTACACCGGTTACTTCGAACACAGCGGCATCTCTTACTCTGTCAGTCGGCAACGGAGTGGGTATCGCCTTTAGACGCTTGCCCTTTTGTCTCTTACAGATCACACATTTATCTATCACTCTTCTAGCAGCTCGTCTAGCGGCAAGTATCCAATATCGCTCTCTAATATCACTCACTAACGTCTGCACCCCTGTATGACACAGTCTTTCGTGGCTCTCTTTAACGAGCAATTTAACAATCGAATCTTTAGAATCTAACACTACGGGATACCGAAAATTATACGTATCCGGACGGTTCGTAATTTTAGTCGTTACACGTATTAATCCATCTTTATCGATACACAGATTTAGCGAGCTAAGTCTCGAGTCACTAACGCCTTTAAAACATCGTTGCTGTACTAGCTTTAATAATTTAATTTCGGCAGCACTAAATTCTCGTGCACATAACTCTCCTTTCATACACGCAGAAGGCGGATTCATACAATAAGTAACAAATCGACTTACCCATCCGACCAATCTCACAATCTTATGATACGTGGAGAAATAACGCTCATACCAGTCCAATTGCTCCATTCGCTCACTGGTAACTTGACTCACAGTTAGCTCCGTCGACAGTCCAGCTCGTTCATCGCAGCTCACTAAAGACGTGGATGTCTTCTCCCTCTCTGCATTCATGTCCTCCTCGTTGATTTCGAATTCGCCCGATGGCCATCCTTTTGCGGGACGTCGCAGCCACTCTGGACCCTCCCACCATCGCGAAGCGATCAGCTGCTTCACCGTAGATCCACGGGAAGGTAAATCTGCTGGATTCATTCCTCCAGGAACATGTCTCCATAACTTTGGTTCAGCGAGTTCCCTTACTTCTTGAACACGATTCCACACAAACGTGTTCCATTGAGACTCTCTTTGAATCCAGGATAGAGCCGTCGTAGAATCCGTCCACATGAATATCGAAATCCTTTCAACTTTAACAACCTTCACCACAAAATCGATCAGTGTAGCACCCACTGTCACAGCTAACAATTCCAGACGTGGAATTGTCACCTTCTTCACTGGAGATACTCTTGTCTGGGCCGCTATCAGCTGAGTTCTAACTCCCGGAGGACCTTCCGTTCGCGCGAAAACCACCGCCGCATACGCATTTTGACTGGCGTCGCGGAATGTGTGAATACTAAGGCTATCTTCATTTATTGGTTCGGCTAACATTCCTCTAGAAATTTTAACTTCCTTCAATAGCGGCAGCTCTTTAATCCAACGTAGAAACTCCGTTTTGACTTCTTCAATCACCTCTGCATCCCAATCGATGCCTGACACCCATGCCTTCTGGAGTAACAATTTAGGACACAACATCGCCGGGCAGGCAAAGCCAATCGGATCGAACACTCTGTGAACGGCAGATAAGATCGTCTTCTTCGTGATGACCTTTTGCTTTGTCTCATTCTGCTCTAACGCTGCCGGATTCAATGACAAGGTATGCTCGATCTTATTCCACAACATACCCAGAACTGGCGTTGGAGATCCACAGGAGTCATCCCTCGTATACTCCCAACCTCGCAGCTCGAATTTGCCTTCAGCCATTACCGAGGTTGCGGTGTGCATAAATTCCTGCAATTCTTCGTTAGAGTCCACGCTGGTGACACAATTATCCACGTAAAAACTGTTCATCAGCTTCAGGATACTGTTGCTCCTGCTTGAACCTGCAATTCGTCGATCACGTGCCAAAATAGTCTGTAAATGCAATTCTATAACCGCTCCTAAAATAAACGGACTAATGGAGACTCCGAACACGACACGTGCGTGTCTGTACACGATTATTTGATCCGTTTTGTTATTTTTCCACCATAGAAAACGCAAAAAATCTCTGTCCTCGTTTCGAATGTCTATCTGCAAAAAGGCCTTTTTTATATCGGATATAACGCCGATGCGACTTCTTCGAAAATTCAGCAATACTGTCGGAATTAGTTCAATCATGTTGGGTCCCTTTTCTAAACACTGATTTAACGACGGATAATTGCCTTCTTTCGCCGACGCATCAAATACTGGGCGCACTTTTGTAGTACTATTCGGCTTCACCATATGTCTATGAGGCAGATAGTATGCGGACTTTTCAATTTCGGCGTCCGGAACTATTTCGATAATCCCTTCTTCCAGCCATTCTTTCAAAACTGCATCATAGGCTTTATAATAGTCTTCTGCCTGTAAGCGTCTTCTAACAGCTTCTAGTCTTTTCAGCGCCAATCTCTTGTTATCACGAAGAGGCGCATGATCTTCAGCCCATGGCAACTGCACTTCATAACGCGCATCGCTTGTCAGTTTTATCGTTTGCCGAAGATCGTTCATCACAGTTGCATCCTTTTCTTCTTTCGTCTTCTTTTGTGCCGGATCGGTGATACCAAGGATATCCAAACTCCAGAGATCGGGAACAGTTGCTTCTTGTACGAACATCGACGTAATCATCAGCGCTGAGTCTGTACGCACGACACTTCCTGGGACCTTCCCCATAAGCGTCCAACCCAAGAACGTCTCGACAGCCACCAGCCCGCTGCTTAGATTGCGACGATTCCCGCTAATTAATTTTCCTACAACATCGGCTCCTAATAGTATTGTGATCGGATCCTCTTGACTATCGACATCTGTGAGCTCGATGTTCAGTCTTCTTAACTCACTCAGCCATGGTCCGCGGCCAACACACGGAACATTATCACAGATTTTTTCTTCGTCTGTGGCTTTAAAACTACATGCATACCGTCCGTTCACAGCACTCGCGTGAATAAGATACACATTATGCTCTCGCGGTTCCGACTTCACTCCACCGAACAGAGTGTGCATGATTGTCTCTTTGTCTATTGGTCGATAGCCAATTTCACTTGCGGCACTTCTTAATATATATGATTTTTGCGAACCCGTGTCCACAATAGCGCGCACATTGCATTCTATTTCCCCATTCTTCAGTTTCACACGCAATGTCATTAGATACACTGCTGGGCTGCACGACGAGTTGGCCAGATTCTGTTCGCTGACGGTCTCTGCCTTCTTGCCCGAAGAACCTTCGAGTGGCGTTTTATCCTTCGACATCTCTGGACACATCAATAGCGTATGTCGCTTGCTACACCACGCGCACTTGACCGGCACTCTACAACGTTTGTATATATGTCCCATGTTCAAACAATTAAAACAAGCTTTCTTTTGCTTGATCACATCCTGTCTTTCCGAAAAAGACATTTTACGCGCCTTTTCGCACTCCGCCCTCGCGTGATCATTACCGCAAAATATACACATTTTCTTCTCAGCTTTCGTCGTTAAAAGACCGGTAGCAGACGGTATATTTTTATTAAAATCAACCTTGGGCTTATGTTTCTTCGCCATATCATTTTCGTTATTTAAGCCGAAACCCGTGACTGCCATCGATATCCGTTCTTCTTTCTCGACTTCAGATTGTAAGAACTCCATCAATTTTATTAGGCGATCCTTTGATTCGTACCCGATCTCCGTATTTCCCGGAATCGTCGATTTCTGCCATGCACGCAACAGTTCTTCCGGTAGTGAAGATTCGACCAATGGGTACAACATGGCGTCACATTTATCGGTAGTGACGCCAAGCGTCTCGAAGGCGCGCAAGTGTGACTCGAGTTTATCGTATAGAGTAGACAACGTGCTCTTCTCGCCCTTCCTAATGGCGTTTTGTAAAACCAATGTCAGAAGTTCACGCACATACACTTCCACCAAAATTTCGTCACGACCGAAGCGATTCTTTAAACACCTTTGCATAATTCTCGCCCGTTGGCGGAAAACTCCGTACAAGCTCGCTAGCTCTCGAACCGGGAACAATAGCTTGAATGAGATATTGGAATTTATCCTCGTCCACAATGTCTGCATCTTCGTGAATTTTCTTAAAACAAGACCAAAACTGCAACCATTCGCGAATGCTTCCACTGAATTTCAGTAGTTCGATTCTTGGTAACTTGTATGTTTTCCTCCTGTCGCGCATAATCATCTCTCTATCAACGGACGACGTCGACGTCGCCGTCGTCGTTGTAGTCACGCACGTGGCTCTCATCTTTGCTCGCATAAATTTACTCTTGTATTCATCTATACTATCGCTTTCTGTGGCGATCTGTTCTTCGGTAGCACCCCCGTCTATCATGAGTAGAAATATATCCTGCGTCACAAATTCCAGGTCCTTCATCTTCTCCATCAATAATTCGAGGGTTACGAGGATCTCTTCCCGATCCGGGTTTTGCGTATCCAGTTTCTCATTTAACGCATTCAGCGTCTTCGTAAAGGTGCTGCGTCGCGCCTTCCTAACCTTCTTCGCTTTTTCGGTCGCTTCATCCATCGCGATCTCACTTATTCCGTTCCACGAGTCCTGTCACGGTCGCCAAATGTTGTGGGTAAAGAATAAGAGACACTACACGACCGTTTTACAGATAATGAATTGCAGACACACTTTATGTTGATACAATACAATTCGGCGCATCGCCACGTAATTGACGCGATACACGGTCCGCCATAAACTAACTAAAAAATAAAAAACGTCACCCTGCTGGTAGCGCTTACTCCTCGCCTCCGCTCTCTCGATCGCGTCGGTGTAGATGGCGCTCACGGCACCGTGCAAGGTGATGGAACCCCACGAGCAAGATGTCATTCATTAGAGAATTAATAGAGAAGTGTAACGACACTAATAGTTTTGTGTGGAAACTTCAGAAAATTCGAAATAAATTTCTTTTTCGTAAATTGTCTCTGACCAACACAGAATCAGTACAGGGACCTCGCGATTATTGTCCCGAAATGGGGTCCGCGTCTGGACAATTATCGTGAATCAACAATCTGTCAATAACCGCGAGGTCCCTGTACGTTGCATTGAGTAAGTGGTTTTTTTAAATTGCCTCTAACCAACACAGAATCAGGACTTTGCTTTGAACCAGTAACTTTTTTTCTTTAACTGTCTCTAACCAACACACAATCAATATTTTGTTTTGAAAATAAAAATAAATACAATGTACATACAATTCAGAACCCGTAGACGTATATTTTTATTATAATTCCTTATAGGAAATTTAACCTTTTATTTATTAATAGGAACTAACTTGATCTAATTTAATCGCAGGAAAGTTAATCTTTTATTTATTAAACACAAACCAAACTAACCTAACCTCTGTCACCTGGCACAGAATAAAATCTGACTGTAATTTCAAACATTTGGGAAACGTTTCTTATACGTCTTTTAAGACATAACTATAGCATTTTTAAAAACTCTTTAAACGTTCGCAAAACGTACAGAGAATATTACTTTTACGCATTCGGAAACCATTCTGAGAATATCGACACAGGACGTTCTCAGGACGTTCCACTTTGTAAATAAGACCTTCCTAGGGCATTTATAGATCTTAACGAGGACCTAGATTAGATTAGATTATGCTCGAGTCTCCCGGGAGAGGGGAAGTGCGATTTCCCCCCCAAGGCCCAGCTGTGGCTTCTAGCGCCGGTAGCTATCACACAGCCCTGCGATAGCAGGAACTGCCGTGGGCGTTACCCGGGGAGGCTATTTCCCCCGGCTTTCCAACCCGACCAACTTTTTTAGGCCCGGGCCACATGGAGGCGAGGAAGTACTCGCCCGGGGGGCGGAGAGTCACTAGGATCGTCCCATCCCTACCTGAGTAAGTACCTAAAGGAGTATGGTCGTCGGGGCAACCGATCCTTCGTCTCCTAAAGTCAGTACCGGCTCACTCTTTGCTTCATCCACAGACCGAGTCTGTACCAGGGGTGGAATCATCGTGCTTGCGTACGTTCCATCATCGAGAGAGAGCTGTGTCG